ATATATATGCCACTTGCATATTTTGCAACAAGAAAAGTCATAAATGCGAATTATCTTTAAACTATTCCTTGCAGTGAAGGACAGCGCAAAGCACAACGCATGGGCGTGTTACTTGACGCTACTTCCCGAATGGCCGAGGGATAACGAACGGGGCAGAGATTCGAGACGTAAGAAAAGGTTAACCCACCCCTATATAAGCCTCAAGTAGAGATCATTCGGTACCTGGTCTCAGCATGGATCTCGAGCATCGTATTAAGGCTTATCGCTTCGTAGCCTACTCGGCTGTCACCTTCTCGGTGGTCGCCGTCCTCTCGGTCTGCGTCACCCTCCCTATGGTATACAACTACGTCCACCATGTCAAGAGGACCATGCACAACGAGATCAACTTCTGCAAATCGTCCGCTAAGGACATCTGGAGTGAGGTCAACCATCTGAAGAACGTGCCAGCCGGAAACAGAACCGCCCGTCAGGCCGGATACGGAGATGCCGGAGTCTCTGGAGGAAGCGCCACTGCTGGAGGAAGCTGTGACTCGTGCTGTATGCCAGGAGCTGCTGGACCAGCCGGTACTCCCGGTACCCCAGGTCGTCCAGGTAAGCCAGGAGCACCTGGACTTCCAGGAAACCCAGGACGCCCACCACAGCAGCCATGTGACCCCGTCACCCCACCACCATGCAAGCCTTGCCCAGCTGGACCACCCGGACCTCCTGGACCACAAGGAGCACCTGGAGATGCTGGACGTAACGGAATCCCCGGTGCACCCGGAAACGGAGCCGCTCCCGGAGCTCCCGGACCTAAGGGACCCCCAGGACCTAGCGGAAACCCTGGAGCCCCAGGAGCCCCTGGACAACCCGGAGCAAACGCTGTCTCTGAGCCAATCGTGCCTGGACCACCTGGACCATCTGGAGCACCCGGACCCCAAGGACCACCCGGACCTAATGGACAACCTGGACAACCTGGTAGCAACGGTGAGTTTTGAAACGAACACAGTTTGAGCAGGAAAGAGAAAAAACTAGGCTCCATTTATGCACAACTTCTATCTGCGCAATTTAGGCCAACCCGGACCAAAGGGACCCAACGGACCTGGCGGACAGCCCGGAGCAGATGGAAACCCAGGATCACCCGGACAAGCCGGAACCCCTGGTGGCCCAGGAGAGCCAGGAATTTGCCCCAAATACTGCGCCATCGATGGCGGAGTTTTCTTCGAGGACGGAACTCGTCGTTAAGATGCATTCCAAGCTTAATCATAGCAAAAATCTCAGAAATAAATCTTTTGCATTCATTAACTGTATGCTTGTGCATAGCAGAGCAACCTGAATAACAGGTTGTATTGAAGCATGAGCAGTTACAGTTTATGTGGAGTTTATGAGTCATCGATAAGATGCAGTACAACTATCCTGAATATCACAAGTGCAACGTAAAAAGTGGCCTTCTCGAGCGCTTCACTAACCTCATC